TTTTGGCTTTGCTTTATGAGATGATCCAAATGTGCACACTGTAAATAGAACAACGCCTTCAATCTGGGGAAATGATCTTTTATGCTTATAAAAGCAGAAAACAAAACAAGTGGAAAAAATAAAGAACCCCCGCCACCACACACCCACCCACCCACCCACCTCTGTTTTCCTTTATGTGATAAAATGCTCTACCTAGAGCACTCCTATCCCTTTCCTCTCACATCTCGGCAGCGCGGCTCCTCTTTCAGGTCACGTCTTTCCCATAAAAGTGCTAAACTAATGCCGCTTAATGACAAATTAATGTCCATGAATAAAAAATACACCTCTAATAGCATAGAGTAATTTGCCATTACAATATCATCATTGGACATGCCCCTGGTTTAATACGATGTATTTAATTCATAACCTAATGAGTGATATATAAAAAGAGGGAGATGAACCCTGCAATTACATTTATGTGAGTCTGTCACCTTATTTGTAAAACCTTAGAGTCATTTACATTCAAATTAGAACAAATGAGTGATTTCACAAAGTACGGTGATAAATGACCACAGCAGCCCAAGACAAAACTGTATTTCCTGTGAACACATTCACAGTTTCCTATTATTTGTTAAAAATTACAATGCATATTGCCCAGTGTGGTGTGAATAATGACTTTTTTACTGATTAGGTCAGAAGACTAATATGTAGCAAAATAAATAATTTTTCTTTTCATTTTTTCTGATTTTTGCTTTAAATTAACTACTGAATTCTGGTGGATTCACACTGCCACCTGCTGCCTAGAAATAGATACTAAAAGTATATTTCTACCGAAAGGAGTTAATTTACCCCTTCGGTGGTCTTATTCACAAAGTCTAGCTAAGGTTTTTTCTTGTCAATATATTTAAATTTCATATCACAATAAAGGCTGATACTTGGCAAACAAAAAGAACACTTGCTAATCAAACAATAGGATATACTATTTGCTATTTGGGGAGGGAGTACAAAATGTACAAACTTTTATTTTTGAAAGCTAACTACAAAAAAAAGACATTTTCAGCAAATCATGTGCATTTCCTAATGCATCACTTTCAGTGGATACAACACAAAATCTACTGGCCAGTACCCTGACCTTACAACAGGGGAGGGTGAAGGAGGGTGGTGTGTGTGTGTGTGTGTGTGTGTGTGTGTGTGTTTGTGTGTGTTTTTCCTACTCCTGCCCCTTGGTACAATCTGAAGGGGATGACTGAGGGCTCTGCCTGTCACTGAGGATCTCCACCACCTAGTCTTCCCTCCTAATGACAAGTTCCAACATGAAAGGAAGGTCTCAGGGTCCACAAGAGAGCAGGCTAGGAAAGGCATGAGGACTAGACACAAGACTGGGGAAGAACAGCCCTGGCCGTGGAGACCAGGCTAAGGTGAAATGATGTTCCCGGATGGTCATCAGGAAACTAGGAGAGGTTTCCAAACTGGATCAAGATCCTAGTTCTGAATTTAACTTTTCTCATTTGTGAAAAAAGAAAAGAACCCTCACCTGCCTTAAGCAGGTGTTACTTAGAGGGGAAATGGGAATCCTTGTGCAAAACAGTATAGATGGGCTGTCATTAAATGCTGGTTCCCTTCTCTGTGAAAGATGACAGCTCTGAGGACTGTGGTTTGGCGTGGAGGGAGGCTAGAAACAGGCAGACCCCTTAGGTGGAGACTGTGAACTCATAACTTACAGCCAATGATGGCAAGAATCTAAAGAAAAGTAAGAAAGTTAGCAATGGAGAAAAGGATCAGGTCTGAGAGACATTTGAGAGGTAGAATCAACCCAGCTTGGGAACTGATTGGATATGATGGTGAATAAGGACTCAGAAACTATGTTCAAATTTCTAGACAACCAGTGGATTAATGGCACCATCAACAGAGAAAAGGGTAGATTTTCTCACGTTAGGTTTGAATTGCCTGTGTGATATTTAGGTAGACATATTGAAAAGCTTGTATTTTTTTAAAAAGTCAGGAAAAACCAAGGTTTGGGAAAACAACCTGGATTCAAAAGTTTTGTCATGTTTATCTGAGGGACTCAGTAAACCAGGAGACATACTGGAATCTCTCCTGAGGATGGTCTGCAGAGATTCCTTTACAAGATTTAACATAGTGAATGACATGTATGTAAACGTGCATACTCTGAAAAACAAGGAAACTCATGCATTTACTGGACCCATTTTAAATACAAATATTGCTCTTTAATGAACTGGTGCATCTTTCTGATGAAATTTTTTAAAAGAGCACAGCAGACAAGGAAGAGGGAGCAGAAGGAGGAAAAGGGAAGGAAGCACCCACGTTTTATTTGGGACTGAATCTCAGCAGTTAAGTCTGACAGGTCATGCTTATTAATAATTTATAACACGAAAGGCTACACAGGACAGAGTCCACGGAATTCCATTGCAAAGCAGGTGAGAACGGATGCAAATATGAGGAGCTGTCTGTAAATCCCTTATCTTGGGATAATGGCCTATTGCTGCAGCCACTCTCCCTGGGAGCCACTCCCTCCCAATAAATTAGCGGTTTTCATTTCATTAATTCTACCAACATGCACTGAGAACATGCGTGTTCTCAAAGACAGGCCCTGTGAGAGGGCCTGGGGCCAAAAATGAATAAAGGGGAAGCCCTCACAGCCTGGGGGGCTAATTCGATGGCTGTCCTCACTGACACAGAGGGGCACTGCTCCGGCGAGGTGGGGCCGTGGCCCTCAGCAGCCTGCCAAATGAAAAGCAAGAGAAAGGAGCCCACACCGGGGCCTCGAAGTGTCCCTTCGCTTGGCTGGGGGGCAGCAGCTGCAGCACCTAGGCACGTGCAAGAGAGCTTTAGGCCAGGGCAGCAGCAGACGGCGGACGGCTTGGGAGGCTCAGGGAGGTTTAGCCAGGCTCAGGAAGCGTCCACCAAGGGCTTCTCATAGCACGTGCTCCTTAACGAGCACTGGAGGACAGGAGGGGCACCAGAGCAGAGCCCTACCCCTCACATCTCTGAAAAAATGGTAATTTGAGAACAACAAAACAGTATCAGACATCTAATCTAATGGTCTTCTTATAGTCAATATTTTCTTCTACAGATTGGACATCTTGCAACATCAGAGTTAAAAAGGAAATGTAAAATTACATAAGAGAATGAAATGAAAACATATTGGTGAAAAGAAAGTGAAAATGTCAACCACTGCTCAAAAAGGCTGATAATAAATGAACTGTCCACAAAATACATCTGTATACAAGCTACACTTTTCCCTCAGCCAAAATAATGAACTGCAAGATCTAAATTCCAAAGTGCACATGAGTCACTCAGTATCTCAGCAGATTTACTGACGGGGTAGGGAGAAATACTCAAGAACTTTCAGTGTTCATCTGGAATTCTCATTTAGAGAAAATTATAGGTATAAGTACACACACACACACACACACACACACACCTCTGTATATACCCACTATTTTAATATGCATCATGGTTATTAGCACTATAACCAAACTTCTGTCAACATACATCATTGATTATTACCTGCCATGGAAAAAGTGAATCAGGTGATGATGCTGAAAGCTCAAATTGCAATATTTGATGCAGAAATGTCAAATAAAAGTAATTTCAATTTCACAAGTCAAACACACACCTCTGAAATCTTGTAACCTTTCTATGTTATTCCCATTTGTTACTTGCAGGAAGGGATTAAAACGGCTCTCCCATATCACCCAACAATATCGAGGGGAAAAGAAAGGAAAATAAGATAAAAATAGTTCAACATTTACTGTTAGATTAAATATGCTGAGATAATCATGGAACTTTCATTTGCTGTACTTGAAATGCTCCTTAGGTGAACATAGCTGACAGTCTCACACTGTCTCCCTGGGAAGCACTGGTTCCCACTTCCTGAGGTTGCTGGGAAGTTGAAATAAGATGATATATGAGAAAGAGCTTTGGAAATGACCTAACGAGTAACACAAGTAGAGGCAATATTTAGAATAAGAGAAATGATTAGGAAGAAAATAAAGTAATTCGGCAGAAAAACAAATAGGGTTTTTCTACTTACTAATATCATATCATGTGCACAAGGATAGCAGAATTAAATTACGTGGATTTATTATTATTTTTTAATTTATCTTCACTGTTGTTATAACTCTGTAATAAATGCAAGTAAAAAGTCATGCCAGAGGAGGAAATGGGAAGATCTCAATATAGGGAATCAGTGCTGAACTTCCTGCAAAGGAGAAGAGACTCACAGCCGTACCGTCTACTTAAGATGTTCCAGATCTTCCTATTGAATCAAAGGGTTTTCATCCAGAGGGAAAAAAGAGTCTTTGGAATCAGAAAGGCCTATCACTCACCAGTTGTGTCACCTTGGGCAAGCTGGGTACATTTCAAATCTTTGATTTTTTTTTTTGCCTATATAAACACGCAGAGTTGTTTTGAGGACCGAACATGAAGCATCAGCGGGCACACGGGGCAGGTGCTCAGTGAAGGGGAGTTTCCTCTCCCTCCTCTTCACAGAGCCTTTCCTACCACCCCAGACAATGGGGACAAGAGTGCACAGATCACTCATCACTTCTCCAACCACCACGGCCTGGGACGTTCGTGCGGCAATGAATTATGTATGACTTTGTGATATGTTACTGTTACTGAAATCTTCAATGACTATCCAACTTCTCATGCATTTCCGTAACTGGAGAGACTTGCTTCAAATCAAGACCCTTCCTAGTGTCATCTCCCAGGGCCCCCGTGGTGAACCCTGTGTGTGTTTGCTGAGTTACTCTGCCGCCCAAGGGGAATGGGGACCTGGGATGGGCAGGGAGGGTCAGGGACGTGAGACAGGACATGTAACAGCTGCACCAGCCCTCCCAGGAGCCTCTCAGCTGGTGTCCTGGAGAAACTCTACCACCCCAGGCCACATCTCCCACCACCCCCTTCCATGTTACCTGTCACTGGGATCCAGCTGGTGGGGTGCTGCAGAGGGAAGGAATGTGCAGGGCACATTAGTGGGATGCAAGCTTACATACCTGGATGAGATAGTGGGAACATAAGTTGAGAAGCTCCAACAGCTGTAGGTGACTGCCAGCTGCTAATACATCCTGGATCACGCCTGGCTCCAACAAAATCTGTTTGTTTTTTAATAAAAAGAAAACCATCAATGACTTAAAAATTAATACTTGCTTAATAAGCAACTTTGCTATATTTAAGTTGCTGCTTAACATACAATATCCGAATTAATACTGTTCCTTACTATGGAAGTCAGTTCTTTTTTTCTATTTTGATTCATGAGCTGTGGCCTCCACTCTAACAGCTGAGTTCTCATTTCTAATCCTCATTTCCTGTGTGTAAGGCTCTATACTTTACCACTTATTTTTGTAGGAGGATATGAAAATTCGCCAAGAGCAATGTAACAGGGCGGAGGGCTCAGTGGTAGAGTGCGTGCTTAGCATGCACGAAGTCCTGGGTTCAATCCTCAGTATCTCCATTTAAGAAAAAAAGGAAAAAAAAACCCAAAGAACAATGTTATAGTCTTAAAATTCAGTTTGTGATGGATGTAATCTCATAGATACAAAAGTGCTGAATTTTAGCTGGTCAAAGTACATTTCAGAACGTTGTTCCTCAGTAGATCACAGAAACAGTATGGTTAGCAGGTATTTTAGAGGAAGGGGGCTCACACTTCTTGAAATATGAGACCAGAGGTGGGTATCACTCTGTTTTACTTCTAAGTCCTACAACAGTAAACATCAACCACAACTTTCATTTTTCTCCTTTTCAGTCTCAGATTCTCTAACCTTTTCTATTTGAAATATAAGATGTAGAAATAGAATTTTCAGAACATAAAGGCATCACAGAGAAGCAAAACTTCCCAAATACACTGGTGATACCAATTCTGGTACCAGTTTTTTTCTGGTTAGGTCCAGCGCTGTGCCTACCGGGGCCAGCTCTTGACCTGCTGCACAGGGCTGGAGAAAAACACAACTGCGTTGGCTAAACTCACTTTACACGCAAGACTCCCAGGCCAGGGGACCTTTCGTGCTGCTCTCACCATCCTGACTCATTTCCCGAGCCCAGTGGCTCCCAAAGTCTAGTCTCTGGGCCAGCCACATCAGCATCGCCTGGGAACTTGGGAAAACTGCAAATTCTTGGACACCTCCCCAGACCTCATTGAATCAGAAACTTTCAGGGTGACGCCCAGCAACTGCATTTTAAGAAGGGCCACTGGTGCTTCGGATGCACAGGAAAGCCTGGGAAACACTGATGGGGTCAGTTCCCTCTCCTACGCCACTACTTCTCACATTCCCTTTTCCCCTCAAGCCTCCACCTCCTCCCCTCTCTCCTTATTCTAACCTCATGGTCTTCCAAAGGCTCCCACCACAAAATCTCCCAACCCACCTACCCAGATCTGTATCACACACTTTACTTTCCTCAACACTCCGCTAATACACTAGATCCCAACGCCTCCTGTCTGATACTGTTCTCTCTCCTTCCGGCATCGTTATCTGTTCTCTCTCTATTGGATGATAATCCCCATCAGCATATAAATATGTCATGATAGCTCTTCTCTGAAGAACTAACAACTCCCTCCCTTGACCCCACAGATCCCTCCAGGCTCCCCTTCCCAACAATGTTCCTCAGGAAAGTTGTCCATACAAACACTGCTATTTGCTCTGCTCTCTTCTCTCTCAAACCCACTCCTGTTGAGCTTCGTTCCTGCTGTTCCTCTAAAAATGCTCTCATCAAAGGCACCAGAGACCTCTAAATCCAACAGCCATTTCTCAATATATAATCTTATCTGAGCCAGCAGCAGTTAGCAAAGTTGATTGCTCTCCTTCTGAAACGATTTCTTCCCTTGGAGGACAACACTCCCTCTCTTGGTTTCTTCTGCTTCAATAGCCATTCCCTCTCCATCTCCTTCCCAACCTGTAAGCTTTGGAGATGCCCAGAGCTCAGTCCCTGGATCTCTTCTTTCCTCTCTCTTCTTACCCTGAGGATGATCTCATGCAATCCCATGGCTTTAAAACCACCTGTACACTGAATCTGCTCCACTTGGTTTCTCCAGCCCCAACCTCACCCTCGAACTCCAGGCTCTGATATCCAACAGCCCATTCTGTATCACCACATGGATGCCAATGGGCTGCTCAAACCGAACGTGCTCCAAACTGAACTCTTCATCCTCTCCACCAACCACCACACCTGCTCCTACCCTAGTCCTACCATATCAGAAAATGGCAACTCTCAGAGTCATTCTTGACTCCTCTTCTTTTCTTCCTGCCTTACGTCTGATCTATCAGCCACTCCTTTGGCTCTATCTTCAAACAGTTCCAGAATCCAATCACCACTCAGTACTACTTTCGTCATTACCTCTCTAGTCCAATCCGCTGGCTTCCTAGACTTACTATAATAGCCTCCTAACTAGTTGAACTGATTTCTCCTTTTCTTCCTTGCACTGTTTTTAATAATATCAATCAAAATGGTCCTTCAAAAATATAACTGAAATTATGTCACTCCTTTATTCAGAGCTTTCCAATGACGACTTATTTCACGGAAAAAAATTCAAAGTCTTCATTGTATCATAAAAGGTTCTTTGAATGCACTGAGCACCTTAGTGTTTACAACTAGCTGTTTTCTCTGCCTGGATCAGTCTTGCTCAAGACATCAGGGAGGCTCCCTGCCCCATGTCCTTTAGACCTCCATCCAGATATCACTGTATCTGAGAGGCCTTCCCTGACCACGCTATGGTAAACAGCATCTGACTCCCCATCACCCCTATTTGCTGTCTCCTTACTTCACTTTATACCTCTTCATAGCACTTAATGCCTCTCAACACAATATACATTTGTCTATTAAATGATTCTCTGTTCCTCCACTCATTAGGATGTAAGATCCAGGAGAGCAGGGACTTGGTCCATTTTGTATCCCCAGCACTCAGCACGATGCCAAACAAAAAGCATTCACTTAATACTGATGGATTTATTTTGTAAAAATTTTTTGATGAATTAAATCATCTTTAGATACATTTGAAAATTCAGAATTAATTTTATTAACTAGCCTAACAAGAGAGAAAAGAGGAGGAAGTACTATACATTTTATTTCTGAACTACTAAAGACGTGAAAAAGTTAAGTACATGTGGCAAAAAACACCAACACTCATCTTCTGAAAATTTCTTTATAGCTCCTTTCCTATCAAGTCAGAAGGAGAAACCTGAATTTCTCCAACTCCTCAAGGAGAGAGGCTTTGACTGACATTCAGGAAATTATTGCAGCTCCCATCACAGGAGCAAGGACGAACGTATTCTTGCAGAAGAGGCATGGCCTACAGCGCAGAGCGGGGAATAGCTGGATTAGAAAGGTTAGTCTTAGCCTTTAAATCCTGTCAGTTGCGCTTATTTCACACAACTGGCATTCGCGATAACCTCCGAGGCTCGGTAATGCCCAACACAAAGACAGATATCACAGAGAGACAAGATGAATATTTCACAGCACGGGTAATACGTCCAGCAGGCTCACTCGGAGAAACCCTCACAGGAGAAACCCATACCAGGGTTGTTTTTGTCTTTGTTTCTTGTTTTTTGCTCTGTAGGTTTTTTCCTTCTCTCATTATAATGTAAGTTTTTCTAAAAGATGTTTTAGCACAGAAAATTCCTAAGTGCTTTTAAAGGGCATGGTTTGGAGAGGGAAAAAAAAAACCCTACCAGGAAAGCTGGATCTCACTTATGGAAACAGAATCAGCATTTTCAAGCTCTATTTACACTAGAGTCTTAAATCCAGCTTTGCTGAACTTTGGTGACTAGTTGTTCTCGTATATTTTTCCAGAGAATTTGTGTTTGGGCAGGAAAGTAAACAAGGGTTCAATTACCTCACAACTTACAGTTTGGTGAATTTGTCTGTCGCCTGTCTAGAAGAACAGGGTGAAAATCGCCTTCTGCAGAAGGGGCCTCACACACAGCAGTTTATGGAGGACAACTGAGACCACTAAGTTTAAGTGCCGCAGGGCCCAGGCTGGTTACATTTAGGCCTTTCAGAAACACATACCAATCCACATCCCACCTGGCACTCAGCAGGACAGACGGAAGGAAGGATGCTCCAGGCCCAGCACACGGGGAGGAAGGGTGTCCCCCTGAGAGTCCAGAGCCCAGCGTGGTGGAGTGGGAGCTGATGTTAGAGGCTTGACACAGCTAGTCAGTCATCAAATAGTTCAGAGGTATCAACAGTGGACAAGGCAAGTGTCTGAATAACAAAAGAGATCAAGAAGTGCAGGATGCTTAAAGCCAGGTGGTCCAGAAAGCAGAGGGGAAGGTGAAAACCACTAAAGCCACCAAGCGGGGCCAGATGTGGCCTCTTTCCTCAGTGATGCTCACCTGCCCAGTGGGGGCCGAACTGGGGCTTCTTCAGATTGGACAGAGAGGTTCTGCTGGGATCTCAGGTGCCCACGAGCGCCTCTTGCTCACAAGCCATCTGTGTGGAATATTCTCTCCCTGCCACCCACCCACAGCTGACCTCCAGGTAACAGAATATGGGGGCTGCAATTGGAAGACAGGAGCTGGACAGTACTAGCTGGGGAGGAGACAATTTCAATACAGGAGCTTTCGTGCAGCTGATGGCAAGTCAGGCCATGTGAACTGAGGAAAGGTCCACCGCTGACCCCTGCCCCAAATACTGAGACTCTGCCCTTATTTTGATCAAATGAGGATAAGAACTGGCCAGTGGCTGTGGTCAGGGTGACACCGGGTAGGTGTGGCAAGGTAACAGAGGTAAAAGTCACAACTGCAGTTGAAGGTGGTAGTCTCTAAATATACCAGTGAGAGTTACTACATCAGAATTCAGGCATGAAGTGGTCCAATGGCCCTGCCGGAAGGAAGCACTCTAGAATACTCAATCCAAAGGTGTCCTCTGGCCACCAATCCAAACAGGGTTGAATCTGCATGATCTCTATTAAAGGCCTTCCAACCTGGAATGAGACCGGGGCTCCTGGTCCCAGCAAAATCCTCAGGCAGGCCATGAGGTCAGACACTCATGAAGGAGAGTGTGGGGGGTTAGCTGAGATCCTGCACAGGTACAATGAGGGGCCCTCTCCGTCAGTGCCCAGGCCTCACCTGGCCCGGCCCTGGGAGGGCGGGGCTCGGAC